TTTACTACAAGATTTTGGATTTTTTTTAGTCCTACACTGTAGTCCGTTCTTCAAATCTTCTGAGCCCAATTTGTTGGCTTGAAGTTGGGAAAGGGGGAGGGGTTGGGGGGGGGGGGTCACACTGTATCCAGTCTTTAGTTATTGATATTGTAATGTTTCTTAACAGAGTTGCTAACACACCACAACTATGAAGAACCGTATTGTTCTTCATCCCAATGAGTTGCAGGAATGTTGAGCCTGTTATTGGGGTGATGAAGAATGTACATTCCTTTGCATGTATCCCACCCTGTATCTGGCCTGGGAGAGGTCAGTCAATAGGTATAAATGATCTATTTCTTTACTACTGAAAATCCATATGAGGCGGTTTAATTAGCGAATGTACTGTCGCAAAAGCACAGCCACAAAGAGACAATCCTACCAGTGTAAGAAGGACCACAAAGGAGTTCACAAAAATGGCCAACAGCTGGCTGTTATAGTCACAAAGCCAAAGAACATCACTAGAAAAATATCACCAATATCAAGCAAACATCCCAGCTGGCGAACTTTACCAGTCGGTACACCTTCACCCCTGGAATCATGAGAGCCATGTTTATTGTTCCAAGCAGTTCTGATATTGTATGTGGTGAGTTTCATCATGAAGAATGTGCTGTATTTCAGAACGAAAGCAATACTATGGCAACAAATTGAGGCAAATATTTCTAGATGCATTGACATGACTAAAGTGGCTTCCTACTGTAATTCTTATAGCACAGAGAACATGCCATTAATACACAAGAACATAAGAATTGCTGGTCGAAAGAAGACCAAGGTCCATCCAGTTCGCCTTCCAGCCCCTGGTAGTCACATGTATATGTCTTGTCCCAAACTATTAACTGTATCCCAAGATATTATTTCCTGAAATAAATCTATCTAATTAGCTTTTGAAATACAGTTGTGAGCCTAACCAAATTTACAGAAAGAAAAGGTAGAAGTGGTGGCACTTAAAATAATCTCCTAAATGTATTTTGCATGAGAAATAGAAATATATCCAGCTGGGCATCAATGAAAACCAAATGTAAGATTTCTAAAGAAACTTCTATCAACTGAAGTTTAATTTATCAATTGTTATTAAACCAGTTATGTTCACAATAGATTAGAATTATTGCCAACATAATTTCTATATTGTTAAGTTATCAGATTTGGTTGCAATTGATATGCTTTTTACCATTAGTCTTTTACTTCACCGTATTAGGCAAGAATGAAAAACAAAGTTTGCTCAAAGATAACCATTAGCAGACTAATAGAACAACCCCAGTTATCTGATTATCCATAATTAATTTACCCCATTGACTTGGTCTTAAATGCACAATTCTTTGATTTTACCTGTCAATGATTAATGTGGTAAGCGAATAAACAAGTCATGGTCTTTATCAAACATTAAAAAATGACTTCCTTGAGGTCAGGCTGCAACTAGTGGAGTGAATCCTGCTCCATCACAAGGACGAAATACTGGAAATTGTTCCACAATTATACTTGAGGTTGAACCACCAGCACTTTACCAAGGATTAAAGGCAATGTAACAACTTGTGTTATTGCACAAGCAAAATCATTCTGCAAAGTCTCAAACTTGCTCATTTTGTCCCAAACCAGTATATAGTATTTGATTTGGAGATAAGGATGTACCGGTGGATTGGAGCCAATAATGAAAGATTACCAGAAATGCCTTCAGTTACAATCTCTCCTCGCTTTATTCATTAATCTATAATACGGAATATTATTTTCTCACATATAATAATCCTTGCATCTGATACAGCGCCTTATCACGTCTTCTCAAAGCGCTTCACAAAATAGACTGTACAGTTAATTGACTGTATATTTTGTGGGCGAAATGCGGCAGCCAATTGCGCACAGCAGCGTCCCACAAACAGTCGTGGATTGAGTGACAGAGGCGTGTGGAGTAAGGAAACTTGCCCAATGCTCTACCCGGCCCAGGAACAGAGTAAGGCACTGTGAAACCCTGTATCAGCTGGTCTAAGAAGCTATTGAAAGAATTGAAAAGGTTCTAAATCAATCGTTGATTAACATTTCATACATCAATTATATCACATTGCTTATATTTTGATACGCAGAGACTTGCATATTATTAATAATAATATTATTATAGTTGTGTGCAAACGTGTTAACAATAATAATCCTTGCATTTGATATAGCACTTTTCACATCTTCTAGACATCTCAAAGCGCTTCACGGTATATTTGTATATACATATATATACATATATATATTTGTATATACATATATTGTATATTTGTGGGCAAAATGCGGCAAATAATTGCGCACAGCAGCGGCCCACAAACAGCCGTGGATTGAAGTGACCAATTTATTATTGTTTTTCTGGGGATTATTATCAGGCGTGTGGAGTAAGGAAACTTGCCCAAGGTTTCACCCCGCCGTTCCTCAGTGTTACTCACTGTACTGAGCACTGCAATAAACATTAAAACAACCAATAATTTTCATGGTATAATATAAACGTTAAAAAAAAGTCTACTCTGGAGGCTTTTAAAGTTGCAATCTCATCTCAGGATTCAGGTTACACTTGCACTGTTCTCCTACTGTGTTCCTTGTCATGTCACCTTAACCTTTCCATCAGTTGCCGCCAGACAATCTCTCCCACATACCCATTGTTCTGTATATTGTACACACATCATCCTTATCTTTTAGAATAAACAGAATAATGGATGAGTTTGACACTTCCTCCCTCCCCCATAGCAAAGTCTTTTAATTAATCAGGTTTCTGTGTAGATTATTCTGAACTTTGTACAGCTAACAGATTCACATCCTCACGTTAATGTAACTGTTTGAACACTGTCTCTCGATACTTATCAGGGATTCGATAAGTACAGTACAACTGGGTATCATTTGCCACTCATGATCAGTTTGAGCATTACCTTTAAAGGCATTTTAAATTAGTCTGTCTTCCTTCTTTGCATAGTTGATTTTTTTAAAAAAAATCAGTTTTACCTATAGATCTTCCCAAACTATAAATAACTGACCAATTTCACACTGTGCACAGTTGTTCAGAAGCAAAGATAGTTTTTATTCACTCTTAAAGCCTATTTATTCAGTTGCTTGCAGCAATACGACGTGGAGGCCTGTAGCTCAGTGGTTAGAGCGCTCGCCTCTCAAGCGAGAGAACCCGGGTTTGATTCCCAGGCAGGGCAAAACTTTGGGCAAGTTCCTTACTCCACACAGCTCTGTCTATCAGCAGCAAACAGGAACCTGGTTGTCAATTGACGGACAGCTTTTCTGGGGGGGTATTAATCCCTTCACAAAAGTGATAAGAAGAATTTGGTCGCTCAATCCACGACTGTTTGTGGGGAGCTGCTGCGCGCAATTGGCTGCCGTGTTTCGCCCACAAAATATCCAGTCAATTCTGTGAAGCGCTTTGAAACGTCTAGAAGATGTGAAAAGCGCTATGTCAAATGCAAGGATTATTATTATACACTGATGCGTATTGCAGCGATTAAAGATTACAGCAGCATCCAAACATTTGGGGGAGGAGATTTCACGTACACGTCCTTCCATAAACTAAACCCCAATGGTTAACATGCAGGTTAACCTTCTCGTCTAGCCACAGATTATACACAGTCAAAGGAAAGAAACATTCGTGGCGAGACAGAACAGAGCATTTCGAAACAGAAATGTGTGCAGTGTGGAGCGGCTGCAGTATAATTAGTTACTCGATTTAGTGTAAGAAGATTACAGTAAGAGTTGGGCACAGAAAGCAGATTACAGTGGGAGCAGTTTGAGCTGTGAACAGTTAGGTACACCGGCCCCCCCCCAAGGCTCTCGCACAATGCCCCCCACCTCCCCCCTGGAGACAACAAAGACAGACCAAGTCTCAACAACCCACACCCCACTGTTAGTGGAAGGACATTAAAAGATGAAGCCAACACAGCCCAGGAGAGGGAAGGCAGGGAGGGATGTGGGGGCAGATTAATAACACAAGACCAATTAATACACTCTTTGCATTTGCGAGTCACATGCCCATCCAAGTCACTTAGCAACAAGGAAACTCACTAAAACTTGGCCAGAGAGGATTCCTGATCTCTATTTGAGGGGCTTTGTGTAAAGGAAGGGAATATGTGTGTGTGTGTGTGTGTCAAGGAGGGAGGGAGGGAGGGAGAGGGGAGAAAAGGGGAATAACCACCTCATTTACCCAAGGGAGAGCAATGAGTGTGTGATGTTTTACTTAGTAAACTATTTCCAACCACACACACAAAAAAGTACCCTGAGCAGCTGAGTGGTCTGTCTCTCAGGTGACTGGGAACAGCAGGACTGGCACTGAGAATCCTTCCACAGCAAACAACACAATCCTCATCAGTGTTACCTGATTCATTGCTGTTGGTGTCCTGCGGTCATTTGACGTTTACGCACTTTTTATGCTTTACTTATTGTCCATATATTAGCACAAGACTATTGGTGCTAATATGAGATATATATATATATATATATATGTGTATAAGGTCACTATACAGAGGAGTTAGTGTTGCTGTAATGTTCTCTTACTCACTCAAACACAGCATCAGCTGCTGAACTCACATAACAGTCCCTCTCACACTCACACACTCCAACACAGCGCTACACATCGCATCGCATCACAGTGATCGCCACCGACTCTCCCGTGAAACCGCCACAACGGCGGAACATTCACACACAGAGCGGTATAACGCGTCTCCATTGAACTTCTAAAAACTTTCCCGACTCTCTGCCCAGAAAATAAGTCGCTTTCACTAACACAGAACCGTTACAAACAGTACCCACCGCCACAACAACAACAACAGTAACAGTAACAGTAACAGTACCCATCGGGTTAGAGCGCAGCACTCACTCCACCTTCACAGACACAGAAATCCACTGTGAACCGATAATAATAAATAATAATAATAATAAATGATAAACCAAACCAGCAGCAGCTCTGCGCAAACACAGCGGGTGAGAGCCGTGTCCCAGGAACTCACCTTTAGAGTTGCACTGGAGAGCCCAGAGGGTGAGCAGGAGGGTGAGAGGGAGAGGGGAGCAGGCCATGCTGGGCTGGGCTGGGCTGGGCTGGGCTGGGCTGGGCTAGGGTGGGCTAGGGTAGGGTGGGCTGACCTGGGCTAGGGTGGGCTAGGGGTAGGGTGGGCTGAGCTGGGCTGGGCTAGGGTGGGGTGGGGTGGGGTAGGGTGGGCTGGGCTGGGCTAGGGTGGGCTGACCTGGCTAGGGTGGGCTAGGGTAGGGTGGGGTGGGCTGAGCTGGGCTAGGGTGGGGTGGGGTGGGGTAGGGTGGGCTGGGCTAGGGTGGGCTGACCTGGGCTAGGGTGGGCTGAGCTGGGCTAGGGTGGGCTGGGAGGTACATTAGCTGTGTAGTGTTGAGCTGTGCTGAGCTGGGTTGAGAGGTACACTAGCTGTGTAGTGTTGAGCTGGGCTGGGGTGGGCTGAACTGGCAGGTACACTAGCTGTGTAGTGTTGGGCTGGGGTGGGCTGAGCTGGGCTGGGGTGGGCTGAGCTGGGCTGGGGTGGGCTGAGCTGGGCTGGGGTGGGCTGAGATGGGCTGGGGTGGGCTGAGCTGGGCTGGGGTGGGAGGTACACTAGCTGTGTAGTGTTGGGCTGGGGTAGAGTTGGTCTGGTCCTGGTCTGATGTCCTCTCCTCTCCCCTCTGATGTTAGCCAGGAATAGGCGTGTTCCTGAGCAGGGACATTGCATTAGCTCTCTCTCTCTCTCTCTCTCTCAACCTGCTCAGGGCTAAACCCTCTCTGGCTCTCAGCACAGGGGCCCCGCAATCTGCATAACAGCACACACGTCTGCACTGACAGGGAGGAGAGATAGAGAGATGTCTGCAAAGCTCTCTCACTCACTCACTCTCTCACTCACTCCATCATTATTGTTATTATTGGTTTACACAAACTCTCTCTCAGGACAGGAGACTGACTGGCAAAGCCACACACAGTAACCTCCAGCATTATCCACTCATGACACCCCCTGCTCCAAGCCAATCCATCCCATTCCACGTATTCCTTCATCAATTGCAATTCACAGCAATAGGTGGTTTTCTGCAATAAGTTTTAGGCAGAATTCTCTCTTCCTCTTGCCAAGTCCCCCTTTCCTCCCCCTTTCAGGTGTGTTAAGTGTTTCTTGTTAGTGTTCATTTATATTACTGCAATTTGTTGTACAGGTGCATTTTATTTGCATCGAGTGCAATTTGTGAACACTTTCAAATTATTTTAGTATTTAATAAGAATAATAATCCTTGTGCTTGATATAGCACCTTATCACGTCTATGAGACATCTCAAAGCGCTTCACAGGGTACACTGTAAAGTGGAGTGACTTTCATTTAAGTCATTTATGTTAGGCACATTTTTAGTTTTAGTTGGTCACATCAATAAAGTGTGGCATATATATATATATAATATACATCTGCCCTCCTTAAGTACCGTATATTTACCCAGAAACAGTATGGGTTGTTAACTTTTTATCTGCTATTTGCGTGATCAGGTGAAAGATTGGGTTAAATGGCATTGAAAGTGTGGGATATATCTACATCTATGTCCATAAGTATGTACGTATGTACGTATGTATGTAAGTCCTACTTAAGTAATGTTGCATTTTCACAGAAATAGTGTTGAGTTGTAACTTTATTTGCTATATATATGTGTGTGTGTGTGGGTGGGTGAGGATGATAGAAAGGTTGGTTTGATTGCAATTGCCCCTGAGCTAATGGTACAGGAGTGAGTGAGTGAGTGTGTGTGTGTATCCATGTTCAGGGCTGCGGGGTTTGGTACGGCTCAGCACTGGGGTCAGGCCTCCAGCACAACACGAGGGCAGATCAGCATATTCAATGAGTTTGCTGACACATCCCATCACAAAGGGGAAAGCTCTCCATCACCAGCAACTGGCACCAACACCCCAACCCCAACCCCCTCCTCTCCTCTCCTCCATCCCACACACACACATCCACTCACCCACTCACTCACTCACTCACTCAAACAGAATCCAGAACCTTAACAACTTTTATTTTGTTACCCTCCTTCTCTCCTCTCCCCCTTCCACCCCCCACCACCACCTCCCCCCCCCCAAAAAAAAAAACTTCTTCTCTCAAACTTTCATTAAAGTTGTCTTTCTCTGGCCCTGTGTTGTCCTTGTGTTTTATTGTTTGCGAGGGCCTTGATGAAATTCTTGTCATGGTTTCGCAGCCAGTGTCAGGGTGACCAGCTGCGTTTCTTTATGAAGCCGGTGATGGAGCCACTAATCCCACCAGAGGAAACCCAAAGCGTGCGTTTTAAGTGTAATTTAAAGTAATAATAGTGACGATGATCATAATAAAAATGATTTTTCGCCCCACAAATCCAAATTCCTTTGTAATCCCCTCTTTAGAGTTTATCAGACAATACTTATTCTGCAGATATCTTGAAAAACATCCTGCCATCAGTTTATGGGCAATAATATTTTAAACAATTCACAACATTTACAGTCTCTCCAATGCTTATTGACTGTTGATTCCCCCCCCCACCCCCCCCCCCCACCCTCCATTTACATCAAATTGCTTAATAGTTTTGTCAGTTTGGAATCAACCAATTCAAATAGTTGTGCACAAGGATTCATCGAGAAAATACTTTTAGTCATTATAATTTGAAAATGTGTCTCATGAAACGATTAGCAGAAATGAAAATGACCCTGTTTTGCACGTTTTGCTAATGATCCTGCAGCTCAGTGGTTAGACCGCTCGCCTCGCAAGCGAGAGGACCTGGGTTCGATTCCCGGGCAGGGCGAAACTTATGGCACATTTCCTTACTCCACACGCCTCTATTTACCTAGCAGCAAGTTGGATAATGGTTGTTGGTCGATTGACGGATCGCTTTTCCGGGGGTAATAATCCCTTCAAAAAAAAATAATAATTTGGTCACTTCAATCCACGACTGTTTGTGGGACGCTGCTGTGCACATTTCGCTGCCTCGTTTCCCCCACAAAATGTACAGTCAATTCACTTTACAGCATATTTTGTGAAGCGTTTTGAGACGTCTTGAAGACTCGATGAGGCACTGTATCAAATGCAAGGTTTTATATTATTATGGATACATATACAAATTATCACTGAGCTAGACCTTCAAATGATTCCATTAATTAATACACCTAACCTTAAATGTAAATTGTATGTTCGCGTCTCTGATTTATACATCAGTAAAAAAAAAACTGTGTATTCCACAGTTACCCACTGACACCCATAGCTTATCATCACCTTGATGTAAAGGTAGAGATTAACTCACAATATAGTGACTTTCATTAAAGCATGCATCAGAAGCCGAGGCTAAGGTTAAAGATTAATGACCTGCTCCCAAAGTTCAGAGTATTAGATTGATCCTGTCAGTCAATTATTAATTTACTCGAAAACTAAGTTATTTCTGAAGTCAATTATAATCCTGAAGAGACACAGTCAGCAACCAAGATGTGCTTTATTCTGCAGTTTTTCCACAGGATGCGGTTTTTAGCAACAGTGTTTTTTGGTAAGCTGTTTTGTCCAAAAAGTTTCAACCTCATCAAGCGCTCATTCAAAAAATATTAATGATAATTTGGTCACTCAATACACGACTGTTTGTTGGACGCTGCTGTGCGCAATTAGCTGCCACGTTTCGCCCACAAAATAAGCAGTCAATTCACTTTACAGTGTATCCTGTGAAGCGCTTTGAGACATCTCGAAGACGTCTTGATCAAATGCAAGGTTATTATTATTATACAGGAGAGGTGTGAGTCTGACACATGTTGCATTTCACAAGGATCTTTTCTTGATGGCTTTTAGCACTAATATCCACACTTTAGTCCCCCTTCCCCCTCTACCCTGCTCTTCCCTCCCCTCACTGTGTGGATTTGATAGCAAACCCTCTGCTTGTTTGGGTGGCGATTCGATGGCGAATGAACTGTAAAGTAAGCTATGTCACACGCTATAGCTCCGGGACTGTCTGTGTGTGTGTGTGTGTGTGTGTGAGTTCTAGTCCGCAACACAAGGGTGGCTTGTTACAGGAGGCGTAAAGGGTCAGTGCCCCTGAATAGAGGAACTCATTTGAATGAATTGTTCAGTGGAAGTTTGTGTAATGTTTCCTGACTCGGTGCTGGTGCCTTACACTCAGTGTGGGTATTATCATGATCCGGCTTCAGTTTTAGCAGTTTGTGCAGCGCTCAGTCTATATCTGCTGTTGTTTCTCAGTTCACCTCCATCACCTGTAACCCCCAGACCCTTTCCCCACGCTCCCTCATGTAGTTCAAAATCAGCGCATTTTATATTTAATCCGAAACGTTCATCAACATAAAAGCCGAGAACATTACCTAAGTAGCTTGGTTATATATTATAATAATAATAATAATAATCCTTGCATTTGATGCAGCGCCTTATCACATCTTCGAGACATCTCAAAGCGCTTCACAGAATACACTGCAAAGTGAATTGACTTTATAGTTTGTGGGCGAAAATTATTGACAGATCAATATTGTTCCGATCAGTGTTTTTATAGATCAGTGTTGTTGTAAAGAACAAGATTGAAAGAAAGCCCCAGGTCTCCCAAGCTTTTCATAATTGACTAATTTTACTTCTTACTAAGTTTATTCACAGACAATATGAGGGTCGATGGTATTTTGCAATCCCGTTCCTTTAATTACCTACAACTGGTTTGATGGGTTAGAACCACGTAGCTTAAATTTTCCGTTGAAAAAGTTTAAAAGTATATACATATATATTTTGTAAAACACAGATAAAAAGAGACAGAGACATTTCCTCTGTGTGAGAGGTTAGACAACTTACTGCTGACTTTATTGTGCCAGGCGGGAGAGGTTGTGTTTAAGATGAACACTCGGTTTCAATCCAAAAGTTTCTCGTTTCGATTTGAATGAGTTCCCAGGAGCCACATTAATGCACACACAGCCTGACAATGGGCATCTATCTCTTATGTTCACTGAAATCATCTCCCTCGCGCAAATAACCCCATATTTAGGTTGTGGCAATGCGCCTCTGGGCATGTAAACGGACACCACAAAGCCAGGCCAGA